TGGTTTTTCTGAGACGGAGTCTCGCTCCGTTGCCCAGGCTGGAGTGTGGTGGCACGGTCTCGGCTCACTGCAGTGTCCGCCTCCCGTGTTCAAGCGATTCTCCTACCTCAGCCTCCCGAGTAGCTGGGATTGCAGGTGCGCACCACCACACCCAGCTGTTTTTCTGTATTTTAGTAGAGACGGGGTTACACCATGTTGACCAGGATGGTCTCAAACCCTGGACCTCGTGATCCCCCCCACCTCAGCCTCCCAAAGTACTGGGATTACAGGTGTGAGCCACCGCACCCGGCCAGTTAACTTCTTTTAATCTATAACTAAGATCTGAGTCCTGAGGACCTCCCTCTGGAGCCTCAATTTATTTGATCTAAATGGGTCCGGGCGCTGGACTGATTACCCGTATCTTGTCTCCTGCTAAGTCATGGAGGTTTGCGGAGTTCCTTTAATCCCCAATAAAACTTGTTTCTGGAGGCCTGGTGAGTTTCTTCAGATCCTCGATAAAACGTATTTGATCCTAAACGGGTCCTGTTAAGAATTCTTTCATTGTCTCGCGTGCCTCATGGCCCAGGAAAGGCCTGGGAAAAACTCTCGGTGGGCTTTCGTTACATTCCAGCCTTTGTATAAGGGCGCTGGCTCTTTCAGCTTTTACTATTTAACTTCACCACTGGGTCAGTGCTGAAACAGTTGTTACGGAGGCTGATTACTGATACCTGACCTGCCACAGATTGAGGGCTGGGAAAAAAAGCGGCCCCCAGGGGTCTCAGTCTTCTGTGCCAGGCCCTGCTCCTGTGTCTGGCAGCCAGAAGGCCCATTCCCAGAGCCCGTCTAGGGCCAGACTGCCCGGGGCGTGGCCTTCCTCCCGGCACCCTGCCATGGGAGGGGCCGGGAAAGCGACTGCTCTGTGCCATCTTCATCGTCAGGAAAAGGAACCCGTCACGAGGCTCACCGAGAGCAGGTCATCCCAGGCCAGGAACAGGTGGAGGCCAGGAGTCCAGAAAGGCCACAGAAGAGGGCTGGAGCCTGCGGGAGAAGCAGCAGGGGGTCCCGGCCATGCCCCTAGGTTGGCCTTGTCATTCCCAACCAACTGCGATGGCACACAGACTTCCCTTCCAAGGCAGTGAGTCGGCAGGCAATTACTACTCAGATGAGCCTAAAATGAATACAACACATGCTGGCCCTCCACGGACCTGGGGGTGCCATCCATAGAAGGCCAGGGCACAGGCCTGAGGACGGCGCCCCTGTCAGCCCTCTCTGCTCAGGGCCAGACCTGAGGATGGGACCCCTGTTAGTTCTTTCTGCTCAGGGGAAAGGCCAGAGGATGGGACTTCTCTTCATCCACTGTGCTCGGGAAACAGACGTGAGGACCTAACTCAGTCCCCACTGCTAAGGGAAACAGCTAAGGCCATGGCATCTGTCAGCCCTCTCTTCTCCAAGGCAACCAGGGAGCGGGAGACTTCTTAGTCCTCTCTGCTCAAGGGACAGATCTTAGGTCGTGATCTCACTCAGTACTCTCTACTCAGGGGCGATTCATAAAGGGACGCCTCTCCACGTGCACGTGTTACTTAGCAAACATGAGAACAGGAACTCTCTCCGTCCCCTCAGCTCAGGGGACAGGCCTGAGGATGGGACCCCTCTCAGTCTTGTCTGTTCCCAAGGACGGGACCTGTCTGAGTCCTCTCTGCTCAGCTTCACCCGCCATGATTGGGCTCTGATCCAGCTCACTCATCCACTGCTCAAGCTCTCTGCGAGCCCAGGAGGCTGCTGCTTATTGGAGGGGCTTGGTCAGTCCCTGGGCGCCCAGGAAGGCACCTTGGTGGACCTTTCTGTCCCCAGGCCACCCTCCCCCCCGCCAGGGGCACTTGGTGAGGACAGTGCGGTGAAACACATTGCTTGGTGGGAGCCGTGCAAGCTGGAACGCGCCAAGGGCCTGTGGGGATGAAGCGGGTGGGAGGCCCCGGTGTGGGGCCCGCCCCTCAGGCCCAACACAATCTCCTTGCTCTGGGCTGGTGGGGAAGCAACTGGTTCCTCCCGGTACCTCCTTCCAGACTCCCTGGCTAGACCCCTTCCAGGGTTCACAACCCAACTGTCCAGCATGTGTGCTCGCACGCTCAGTGACACACACACACACTCACTGACACGCTCATGTTCCAGAGACATGCACACACATTGAGTGACTTGTTCACATTCAGTGACACACATGCTCACACACATTGACAATACATGCTCATTGACCCACCCACATTTGCAGTCAGCACACACACAATGACTCGCAAACTCACACACATACACTGACACATATTCAGTGACACATTCATGCTCTCGACACACATTCAGTGACATTCTGCTCACATTCAGTGGCACACACTCATTCCCACACACACTCCCACTCACGCAGGTTCAGTGATGCAGTCACATGCTGTCACTTACATTCACGCACACACATTCTCAGAAACGCATGCACATGCTCACACACACACATGTACACGCCCAAACACACCCGCTCAGACACTCACACTCACGCCTACTGGGGAATCACGGCACACGCAGGTCCATTCTGAACAGGGAAAACCAAGGAGCCCCGACAGGCCCTGGCAAGGTCAGCCAGTCTCTATCCTCTTTCCTCTCCTCCTGCCCCCCA